CATCTTCAGTTCGGCCGCAAATGTTAACAATTCTGGGAATCGTTTCCGCAATTCTCAGTCCATCACTGGTTCCCACTTTAGGGTTCGGTTCGAGCAATACGTGTGCATTAGAGCCGGCGATTCCGAAGTTATTCACTGCCGCCAAACCTTTCAAATGTGAATATTTAACAAACATTGTAAGCAATGTAATACAATTGATTATGATAATCAATTATGTTTAACAGACATTTATTCTGACTTATGTTACATATATTATGTGTATAACAATCAATAAATTGAATGCAATTTAATTCATGTACTTTTATAAATACTAAATAATTTATATAAAACTTTAATTGACGTAAAAAGTCATATATTGTACAATATAATTTTCAATTAAAACACTTTTTAGAATAACCAACAAATTAATTGTTTTTCTACTCCTGACAGTCAATATGAAGATCACAACCATAGAAGAGCAAAGCGGGCATAATTGGGCATTGGCGGGCATTGCTATAATGTATTTTCTATGGGAGCATAGTGTTGCCAGTCTAGCTTTTAAGCCTACTTGATCACTCCTGGTCACATCATTTGCCAATTGTTTCAATATATCTGTTGTCCTAAACTTATGAGCACTGTATTTACCAAATAAGGGAAAGGTAGGGTGACCACTAGTGATTGAGAGAATCTTCATTTTAAATTTAAATTTTGCTTTGGTTTTCCAAAACTAATATTAGTTTAGGTTATGGTTTTGCAAAATTAGTTTTGATTTTGTTTCAGTTTTTCAAACAAAAACCCACATTTTATTCACTAGTGGCCACTAAATGGAGCCCAAATTGTATTGCATTTGTATATCAATAATGATTTAATATAACATTATAAATACAAACCGGGAATATAATCATATTTCTCAGTGATGGGCAAAAGGGGTGGAAAATATGGTCTCAACTCTTGCTTCAAAGCATTTAAGTTAATATTTGGAGGAATGCATTGATTCTCGAATGCGATCAACACTTTGGTAATAGAGACCAGTCCTGAGGCGCCTTCTGAGTGACCCATATTGCTCTTCACGGCCCCCAAAGGCAACGGTTTGGTCCGCTTCTCGCAGTACGCGCTGTATATGGCTTTCACTTCTTCCACGTCTCCCACACGAGTGCCCGTCGAGTGGGCCTCAAAGTAGGTCAGACCCGACGGGTCGACGTTCGCCTCTCTGTACGTCATTTGCATTAATTCTGCCTGAGTTTCACTCGACGGATAAAAAGGTCCCAACTTTTTATTCCCATCCATTCCCATACGAGCGGCCAATATGTGTCCGTACACTCGACGGGCGTCGCGCCGCCGCTGCAGGAATAAACAGCTCACGGCTTCTGACTTGACGTAGCCGTCGGCCGACTCGTCAAACACTGCGGACACTCCTCTCGGAGAACACATTCCGAACATTTGTTGCCATTGATTAATGAAGGGCTCGAACGCCATATGAGTGCCGCACACTATCGCGTAATCATGTAGCCGTCGGCCGACTCGTCAAACACTGCGGACACTCCTCTCGGAGAACACATTCCGAACATTTGTTGCCATTGATTAATGAAGGGCTCGAACGCCATATGAGTGCCGCACACTATCGCGTAATCACTATTACCTGAATGCACAACATTTACATTAATGAATGTTTCAATCACTTCACATTAATTAGAGTCCCATAGGATTGTGTGCATGGATTGCGATAGAAATTAGTTGTGTCCAAATCCAAGTGCCCAATGCTTCCTAACTCGCAATTTACTTAAAAGTGGGCGAATATGTCTGTTATGTTAAACACGTTTTTAACGGTTAACGCATTGTTAATGCTATGGGCCTAATGTTAAGTCTATGGAAGAATGATTTAACATGGGTTTCTACGGGATTACAAATTAAGTCTATTTTTACGACATGGTCGTAATTATTGAAAATATTCTTTGTTAAATTATAGCTAATTATTCCATTTTGTTTCATAATAATGTTTTAAAATAATGCTTAACATAAATACCTTGAATCAAATCATTAAAGGCTAGCGTTAATGCAGTCATACTGGAAGCACAGGCGGAGTCGACGAAAAATGCCGGTCCCTTCAAGTCGAACACATAGGATATCCGGTGGGCGTAAAGGCATTTCAGATTCCCCGCCGACGACACGAACGAATTGTTAACACTCTTGAGATTGTTATTCTGCATGTAATCCGGGAATCCCTGCGTAGAGCCATAGACCAAAGCGCCCACATATACACCCGTTTTTGTCCCTCTTAGCTCATCAGGGTTGATGCCTAAAATGGTACATTAAGGTGGTATACTTTACTAATATGTCAGTCAGTAGATTCTGTCGCCCGAATAATTGTAATAACTTTTAAACTAAACTAGAATCTTGAAAAACCATATAAAAGTATCACTATATGATTCCCGTCGGGAGGGGTTGAATGGCGTATAA